TCTTTGCTAGACCCTCTTGCCCCATGGTCTCTGCCCCCTGCCATGCAGTCTCTCTCTTCAGCACAGGAGTCCGATTTCTTGATCCATGGCTAGCTTCCCAGAGAGCCAAAACGGAACCGCTAAGCCTCGGACAAAGCTGGGCCTCACTTCCACTGGGTCCTACTGGTCACAGCAAGGTGCAAGGTCAGCCCGGACTTCAGAGGTGGGGAACAGACTCCACTGATTTATGGCAGAACTGCCTGTGGGTACCGGGGTGGGAGGAATTGTGGGTGGCCCTATTTGCAGAAAGTCTACGACTCTAAACATCCTAGTATACTTGTCGGATGAACTTTGGAGTCAAAGTGAACATTCTTTGAATGGCTAAGTGGTCTATTGACTTGTGGGTTTTGGGGAAGTCACATAACACGGGGGCCCAAACAGATCTAGCAGGGAATGTGCACCAGTACCTGTATGCCTTGTGTAACTCCAGAGATGCCCCAGGGAGCCTTGAGAGTTTGCTGCTTCACTCGTCTTCCCTTGGGTCTCCGCACTTGCTGAAGAAGGTGGCGTTATCCCCATTTTACAGAGGAGGAAACTGAGGCCCAAGAATCAGCTGGCTCGACCTACTCTCCTCTCTTCCCCACCCCCCAGATCTCATACCTATCTTGTATTTTCTCTGTTCCACACAGCATTGTGACAGTAATAGGCATCACGCAGGATCCAACCATCTCCTGTGTCTCTTGTCCTTTGGTGAGAGGTGAGTTAAGGAAGTGACAGGGCTCACGTGCTCAAGTTCTGGGGTCAGACTTCCGATGCTGTGGAAGTTCTGTCCCTTACAAGGTCACTGAGTGCAGACAGTTGGCTTCACTTCCCTGGAGCCCCCCGTCCTCATCTGTAAAAGGGGAACAACAGTCTTACCGTTGGGGACCCTGGAGAACTGACACGAGGGAAGCACCTGGATTTCCAGCAGGGCTGAGGGTGGGGGAGTGCCGTCGGGCTCCTTGGGGGACCATCACCCTGAGCCTTTCCCGCCTCTGCTCGCGCCGGGCTGGGTCAGGGAGGCCAACGTGTTCAAGGTAAATAACATGTCACAGATGTCCTCCCCTGTGTAAGAACCATTGTGCTCTAATGAGATGCTCAAGGTGGCAGCTAAAAGAGCCCACTCTCCCACCTGTCCCCGTGGACTTGGTGGCAGTCATTTCTCCATTGTCCTCTTCGTGTGGGCCAACCTCATGCCCGGACCTTTGGGGCAGAAGCAAAGCCCGTGTTAGTATCCCGCTCTTCCCGCCTTGCCAAGGCTCTCCTGCCCTGGTGCCTTTGAATACAGCTCTGCCCCTTCCAAGCAGGCCCAGAACAGACCGCAGACCGAGGCCGGGGGGAGGGGAGTTGGTGCGTTCCCGCTGATTCACGGGATGAGTCAAGGCCAGCCGGTAATATCTGGTGCTCAGTGTCATGGCCTGTAATATTTGGTATCGTTTGGCAAGATGTTCACTGTTCGAGGGCCCCAAGTTTACTATTCGTTGTTTTACTGCCCGTAAGGGCTTATCCAGATATCTGGTCACGTTTTCCTGCAAATAACATTTTCCAGCAAAGTCACCACCCAGGTTGGCGACTTCTGTGCTGTGGTGTGGATGCTTCCTACGAGGGCCCGGGGAGCCTGTCTGAGCGGGGGAGCTGTCTGGATTTGGAGTGGCGTTTCTTCTCTGTCTGCTGTTTGTTGCGGACTGCTAGCTGGTTCCTTGACGGTGTTGGCGGCGCTCCATAGCCAGGGCAGTCATCAAGGCAAACTGGAGACGGGGACAGCAGGAAACTCTTGTTTGTAAGTTGAAAATCTGTGCAGACATCCCCCAAACCAGTTCTGGAACTGCCCGTCCAGGGACCCAGGGAAGAAGTGGAAGAGAGGTGGTCGTGAAAGACCGTCTCGTTATTATTCCGTTGGGACAGGACGGTCCAAGTTAGGGTCTTCAGTATCCTCTGTGGCTCTAAAAAGCCATTGTTGCTTCTATCATCTTCTGGCATCTCTCCGTGTTGGAGAGGGGAGTGAGCTCAGAGGGGCTGGTGAGGAGACAACGCACTGTCTTGTGCTGTAGCTACGTTTTGTTGGCTAGGAGATCCCCAGTCATGGTTCATTCGGACACATTGCATAATATAATTCGGCATTTTCTCAATCAGGTTTTGGCCACTGCTGAATATCACCTAAAGTGAGATCTTCAGGGACATGGATGCAGATAACCCCTCTTTCTATCTTGTGGTCCCAGTGATGCTGTCCCATCCCTGCCCTCCCATGGCCAAGGGCTGGGCATCCCCTTGACTAAGCCAGCTAGGTTCTCTGCTCTCAGACTTTGGGATGGAGCGATGCCTAGAGAGAAATGGAACCCAAGTCCCTGCCTTTGACAGCTGTGCTTGATGAGACAGCCCTGCATCCTCACACCTGCCTTGGCTCCTGCTCCATCTGAGGCTGGTTCTCCAGCCCTGTGTACGCCTGTCTGAGGACCCATGACTCTCCCCATACATCTCCAGTGGGTTCTGCGTTCAAGGAACTTTGAGACACTGGCTAAAATTACTGATTTATTTTCTGCGTGCCTTCTCACAAGTCTTGTACACGCGAAGGTGACTTGTAAACGTCAGTGTGTTACGGCATGCGGCAGAATTACAAGTCGGCGACCTCACGGAAATGTGGAGTCTCCAGGCCACACGAATGTGGAGTCTCCAGGCCACAGAGATGAATGGGGATGATTGGTGATAGGAGAATCGGGGATGGGGGCCAATAAGAGATATGTGCCTCATCTAAGGGGGCATCTGCTCCTCAGATCCAGCCGATGTCTTAATGGCTTATATTACAATGAGTTTGATTTGCCAAAGGCCCTGAAATGATGATAGTCACACCTGAGCAAAGATAGTGTCCAGAAGAACTGTGTTCATGTGTGGTTGCAAGCTAGGGCTTACAGGCTGTCTGATTGGATTTCAGTGCTGCCTTGGCTCTCTCTTAGCACATAGGGACCCCTAGTAACCCCAGGCAAACAATTGTGCCTTTCTGAGCCTCAGTTTTGGGGTCTGCACAATGGCCCAGGTAATATTATCCACCTCACAGAGTTGTCATAAGGACTCAGTGCTGACATGACGCTGGTCAGGCATTTCAACCCAGAGCCTGGCACATGGTAAGTGCTTCATAAATAGAGAAAATTCGCCTTAATTCCCAGGAAAATTAGATCACTCCAGGTATGATGGGCTGGAGTTTGTCAATGCCCCGGGGCAGGGGCTGGTTAGGTGTTGTTCGCCATTGTACCCCAGTGTCTGGCACCATGTGGGGGGCTCAAATATTTTAAATGATTATTGAAGGACTCAAAATATTGAAACTTTGAATGTTTATAAGTAAAACTGCACAAGATGTTATGAGACCTTATATACTAGAATTCTGCTACCTTTTACCAGAGGTAAAAATTCACCAACCTATCTACCCTCCGATCCAACCACCCATCCAGCTACCCATTCACCCATCCATCCTTCCATCCACCCATCCACCCACCCAACCACCCATCCATCCATCCATCCATCCATCCATCTATCCATCCATCCATCCGTCCATCCGTCCGTCCGTCCGTCCATCCGTCCTTCCATCCCACCATCCGTCCATCTGTCCATCCATCCCACCATCCATCCATCCATCCGTCCGTCCATCCATCCATCCCGTCTACCCCTCCCTCCATCCTTCCATCCACCCATCGTCCATCCATCCATCCGTCCGTCCATCCGTCCATCCGTCCGTCCATCCGTCCGTCCATCCGTCCATCCCACCGTCCGTCCGTCTGTCCATCCATCCCACCATCCATCCGTCCATCTGTCCATCCATCCCACCATCCATCCATCCATCCGTCCGTCCATCCATCCATCCCGTCTACCCCTCCCTCCATCCTTCCATCCACCCATCCACCCACCCAACCACCCATCCATCCATCCGTCCATCCGTCCGTCCGTCCGTCCGTCCGTCCCACCGTCCGTCCATCTGTCCATCCATCCCACCATCCATCCATCCATCTGTCCATCCATCCCACCATCCATCCATCCATCCGTCCGTCCATCCATCCATCCCGTCTACCCCTCCCTCCATCCTTCCATCCACCCATCCACCCACCCACCCAACCATCCATCCGTCCATCCAACCATTCAATCATCCACTCACCTATCCACCCACCCGTCCGCCCACCCGTCCATCCGCCCACCCACCCGTGCATGCCTCTATCCACCCACCCACCCATCTACCCACATGTCCTCTCATCCACCCACCCATCCATCGTCCATCCACTACAACATCAGTTGTAGTTTTACCCATTTTGCTACTGCAAAATGTGAGGAAGAGAGGATTAAAGGGTTATCTCTATTAATAATGTCAGTCTAGGAGTTCGCCTCCTAATACTTGGTGGACTTATGAAGAAGTTGCATGGCATGGGAATGAAGAACAACTGCACTAGTGCTCAGTTACCTGAGCTCACACCCCAACTCAGTAACTTCCTGGCTAAATGACCTGGGGCAAGTCATGGTCTTACCATAGCCAATGGTGATGATAATATCGCTACACTGTAGGGTCGTGAGAGTTGAATGAGATGATGTATGTAGAATACTTGGGGCGGTGCCTGGCACATGGTGAGTAATCTAACAAATGTGGGCTTCTGTTCCCTGAGACTCCCAGCAACACAGAGGCTGTAAATTCCTGCCTTCCTGTCCCCCTATCCCGTTGGTGTGCCCCCCCTAACAAGTGTGAAGGATGAGTTTGCTTCAGAGTAGCTCCTTGTCCCCTGTGTGTATCTCTTTATGCCACTAACATACTCCCTTTTCCCATCACAGCTACTAAGGGGTCTCCAGGCCTGGATCTTGCTCTGATGCACCCACATTTGGGGGCCTGGTGGCCCTCCTCCTACCTCCCCTACTCCACATGGTCCTTCTCTCCAACAGCGGCTGGCTGGTGACGGGGTGATGGAGCCATGACCTGCTGACCTGGGGCCTGTGCCTCTCCTCTCTTGCAGGGAGTCAGACCTGTTCCTGCTGGACAGCCGCACCCTCTGGGCCTCGGAGGAGGGCTGGCTGGTGTTCGACATCACTGCCACCAGCAACCACTGGGTGGTCAACCCACGGCACAATCTGGGCCTGCAGCTCTGCGTGGAGACCTTGGACGGTAGGTCTCCGGCCACCACCCCACTGATTCCGACACAGCCTGTGTTCTTGGATTCACGTAGGAGCTCAGCAAGCTCATGCTTGTTTACATCAAAACAGGGCCCCCCAGCCCCCACCAGCCAGTACTCACTGTCCAGCCTTTTGATCCCAAGCAAAAATAGCACCTACCCCCTTTGCAAGAGAAGATTACACAGTTGGCCATAGCCCAGTTGGGTGAGGCCTCATTGCACAGAGTGAGGCTCTCACCAGCAGGGTTGGCATCTTCTGGGAAATGCAGGCCTGCTACGTTAGAACCAGCACTTTAACTGGGGACCCAGGTGATGGCTGAACACATAACCATCTGAGACGTGCTGACCCAGGCACCCCAACCTGGAGACACAGGACATCCTGCGTGTCCTGTGCATGGCAGGATGTCTAACCAGCATCCCTGGCTTCTACCTACTAGGTGCCAGTAGCATCTCCCAAAAATGTCTCCAGATGTTACCAAATGTTCCCTGCAGAGCAAAACTGCCCCTGGTTAAGGACCACAGCACTGGTGCAAGGAAGGCACGAAGCCCCTTCCAAGTGACCCCAAATGTGGTTCTGAGTCCCAAATACTTGGAAAGTCCACTGTTGGCCTGCGTCCCCCTGTGCCTCCCACTCACTCTCTGCCGGGCATCCACCTGCTCTGACAAGGGTGGCCAGAAGGCGAGTGGGAACCGGGGTGGGACTTCTTGCGCACACGCCTTCCCCCAAAGCGTGTTTCTTATTAAGTGGGGGATGGCTTTGGAGTGGGTAGCTTCTTCCTTACGCCAGCTTTCGGGAAAAAAAAACCCCAAACTAGAAACACATTGATTTTAGAATAGGTAATACTTACCAGTGGCTTAAAAGGCAAGTTACAGATGCGTGCAAGGGTGCAGCCCTCCCCGGGGCCACTGCCTCAGCTGCTCCCTTCCATCCCAGAGGCACCTGCTGTTTCCATGTTCCTGGCTGTCTTTTCAGAAATGCCCTCTGGGTGTTTAAACAACTGCACATAGATTCTGCTTTGCTTTTATTTTATTCCTCCTGCAAGTAGTGACATAGTATATATGGTGTTGTCTGCCTTGCTCTTTTTTTTTTTCACCCGACAACTTAACCTTGAAGGTTGGCCCTTTGCAGCCATGGACAAGCTGCCCTATTTGTTCAGGGGCCGTTGTGTTTTTGCATATGTGGGGAGTGAGTGTAGCTTTGCCGCTCATTCGCCGTGTGACTTTGGACAAATTCCCTAACCTTCCAGAGCCTCCTCATCTCCAACACACAGGGCCATAGGGGGCATTAATACAGAAGGAATTTTAAAATAGTGCCCTAGTGTGTGTAGGAATCGCCCGGGCATCTCGTTAAAATGCAGATTCTGATTCAACAGGTCTGGAGCGGAGGAGGCTGCCGTAGAGGCGGCTGGTCCTGGGCCATGCGTTGGGAAACAGAGGCTGAGTCTAGACCCGATGCCTAGGACACACGCCCTGAGCCAGGGCTGTTGCTTCTGTTATTAATGGTGGTGGTGGTGTTAATTCCTGCTCCTGACTTATCCACGCCCCCCTGGGAAGGACATGTCAGTGTTTTCTGGTCCTTTGCTCTTACAAACACGGCTGCAGTGGAAAACCTCAGTGCACACGTCGTTGTCCACTTGAGTGTAGCTCTGGGATAAATTCCTGAAAGGCACAAATTCAGCCTGCATCCTGTTTTTCTGTGGCCTGAGCTGAAAATAGTTTTCACATTTTTAAATGGGGGAGGAACATCAAAAGAAAAAGACCATCTCATGACATGTAAAATAAGATGAAGTTCACGTTGTGGTGTCCATAAAGTTTTATTAGTACACAGCCACACTCACTCATTTACATATTGTCTAGGCCTGCTTTTATGTTATCACAGCAGGGTTAAGTAGTCGTGACGGAGACTCTGTGGTCCACAAAGTTGAAAAGATTTATTATTTTCAGATGATTATTTATAGACAAAGTGTGCAATCCCTCTTGTATGCCAGAACTTCTCAAACGGTGTCCCATGAAGTGTCGATGGGTGTCCTGGAGGAAGGGAAGCATTCGTGATCAGTTAAGTGTGAGAAAGGCCAGGTTGGATAAACTAAGCAGGTTTCTCTGCAGGACTTCTCAGAACCTTTATTTTGCCAGTGTCCGTTGTGAATTTCCTGATGGGGAATAGAGCATAGAGGAATTCTAAACTTATTTGACAGTAGAGTCATTCAACTCTTTTTTACTCACAAGCTCCTAAGGAACATACTGGAGATGAAGTAAAAATGGGGCTACGGTAGATTTGACTCCTCTCTTCAGAGTGACCATTTCCCTGGACTTGCGGATATTGTCTAGATCTTCCAGCTTGACCTTGATGGGTCCTGTGCTTCTCTGCCCTGTCTGCCCTGCTGGCTTGGGGTGGCCCAAGTTTGGTTTTTCTCTTAAGTGACACCCAACCCAGTTCCTCTAGTGTCAGGCTTGCCATCACCTTTCTCCCCCAAAGTCTGGGGCTTTGTGCCCTTATTTCCTCCAGCTTCTGCTCCCCCCAGAATGCAGGTGAGGCTTGGCACTCATTGCGATGGCACAGCCTGATGGTTAAAGCTTGGGCCCAGGAGGCCAGACTCATCAGGTTCAAACCTCACCTCTACTGTTTCTACCCACATGATCCAGAGTGAGTCACTTAATGTCCCTCATCTGGAAAGTGGGGTTAATAATAGTTTCCACCTTCCAGGGTGGTGGTGAAGGATCAGATGAGCTCATGCAAGTGAAGAGTTTAATTGTTCAACTTGGAGCAACCACTGAGCCCAGAGTCAGTGCTTTATGCCATGATCTCTTGTAATTCCCACCATGGAGCCACAAGGCAGATGCTACCAGTAAGATCCTCATGGGACGGAAGGCCCCTGACAGGTGTGCGGCTGCATGTTCTGGCAGCCACCTGGGGACCCCTCTTCATCTATGGGGAGGATAGCCTAGTGCTCGTAAGATGCTGCCCAGGATCCGGGCAAGGATCAGAAGCTGTACGCGTGACTCAGGACCTGTCTCCTCTCCTCCTGCCCCCTCCCAGACGGGGCGCCCAGAGCTGGGCATGGATGCCACCATCCAGGGATTTGGCTGCTCTGTCCAGGCACTGTGCATGCCCAGGAAGCAAGTTTGGCCTGGTGGCCTGGGTCAGGGAAGGACCACCCACTCAGACCATCAGAGAAGGATAAAGGGTACAATGGCTAACTGGGGGGTATGAATTTCGGGATCTTTGTGGAAATGAGATAAGAAGCAAGTGAGCCCAGCGTTTCTGAAACCATGGGCTCTCCTGGCTATGTAGTTGCTTTCCCTCTGACCCCGGTGTCCCTCAGAATCCCCTGGGGGGCATGTTGAACTTAACTGATTCCCAGGTCCCACCCCAGACCCACTGATGCTGAGTCCCTGAGGATTGGGCCCAGAAAGCTGCCTTTTCTCACGAGCTCCCTGAGTAACTTGGGGCCTGGCCAAGTGCTGACATGCTGGCAGAGTCATGCCCCATGTTTTGGGGTCCCTGCTAATAAGATGATGCTCAGGCTGAGCACACCATCATGTTAAATGCCTGCACCCGTGAAAGACCAGCAGAGCCTGTTGGGGAGTCCATGCATTTGGGGCTCTGTTTGCTGGCACACCACGGCTGTGTTTCTTGTAGAAGCAGTCGGGCCCCTGTCCCAGGGGCTCCTGCTGGCATTCACCTAAACTCAGTGAGCCCCGCTGCCTCCTACAGCACCTGGGCAAGCCGAGTTCCAGGGCGGTGGCACCCCTGCCCAGCCCCCAGTGCCCGCTCTGGGAGGAAAGGAGAAGGGGCACCGAGTCAGGTACAGCGTCTAATCCTTGTCCAGACCCTAGCAGCATCTTGCAGCCACTAGGTGGCTGCTGGAATATGGAGCCTGTCCCCTCTCAAGAGGCCCCAGTTTTCACACCCATACAATGGGCATGTTGATGGTAGTTATACTGGTGAGCTTGCTTCCATCCTAGTGAGGCACAGACGTCACAGATCTTCTTTGAGAAGCTTTATGTCTGGTGCGAGGGGAGCTTCCTGCTCAGCGGGTCTCCAAATCCCTCCTGAGACCACCCAGGAGGAAGACCTCCCTCTCCCTCCAGCTGCGCCTTCCTTTTAGTGCCCCTGGGGAGCAGCACAGAGCGTGCCTGTGTGGGGGAGAAGCCCATAAACGCTCCGGGCACCTGTGGCTCATCGGGAGCCAACTGGGGAGCATTGTCTCATCGGAGGACAGGACGCTGTGGGAAGGAGGGCTGGCGTCTACTTGTCTTTCCCTTTGTACAGAAGGCAAGAGGAAAGGCAGCTGCTCCCAAGCCACACAGGCGGTGCTCTGCACTCCAGGGGCGGGTGGGAGAGGAGAAGAGGCATGAATGGAGGGGTGCTGACGCGTTCTGGCTCCCCGAGTGGAGGGCTCGTCAGCTGACAAGGGGGCTGTGCCCGTGGTGCCGGTGAGGGCTGAACCCTCGCTGCAGGCCAGGCTGCTGGCTCGGGGCTCCCGTGCAGAACAGGGACAGACCCACACGGGTCCCGCCCGGGGCCAGCAGCCCAGGCCCTGCTCCTCGGGCAGCCGCATGTCGTGTTGGGCAGCGCGATGCCTTGTCCCTTCTTCTGTTCCACGGGTGCAATAATGGTCGGGCAGAAGAGTGAATTCCTGTGAAATGCTGAGCCCTGTGCCTGGCACCCTATCCATGCTCCCTGCACACTCGATGGGATCATCATGGTTGCCTTCAACGAGCTTCGTGCTTTTGGGGACCTGCCCAGGGAGCGCGGCTCTTAGCATCAACACGTTAGCAGACGAGGAAACCGGGGCCGAGAAGGGGGAGCCACCTGCCTGAAGTCGCCCAGTTCCCTGGGTAGACCTGGGCTTCGCCCAGGAGTGGGAACAGAGCCTGCTCAGACAGCTTTGTTGAACAATTAAACTCTTCACTGACTCCAGCCCCCCAACTTGCACTCTTCGCTGAAACGCCTTCGGAGGAATGTGGTCCGCAGGGACCAGGCTTGAGG